ATAAAAACTTAGTAACTAAACACTTTTTGTAGATATCAGTGCATGTAAATATCAATTTTATGCAGAATGTTTATTGATAAAAGTAGGTAAGTAATGAGAATGGAAAAGATATTCAGCCTAGAACTCAAAACTGAAAGAACTTTATCCACTATACCTTTTATGTACATGGAAATTTAAGTATATGCAACTATTTGTTAGCAAAGGCTGTAGGAATGTATAGTTTTTCTTTATTTGGAAAATATGGTTGTTGTGGTTGTTCCTTTTCCTGTTGGAACAGTATAGATTGGCCCTGAGGTTTCTGGTGCTGATCCGCTTTCAGTGTACACTGGTTATTGCCTGGCCACCCTTATAAAAAATTTCTGGCTACTCACCTGCCTCCTTTTTTCAATCATCAGGATCTGACCCAGCATGGATAAAGCCAGCTAGGACTGATATAAAGCACTTCATAAAAAAGCCAAAGAAGAATAAATTATCTGGGATTCACATGGACGATAATACAATATAGCCTACTTTTTCTAGATGTTATTAATCTGCATAGTTTCTCATAAATAAACACATTGTCAGAAAAAAATAGTTTTTATATATAAAAAAATGATAAAGCTCCATTATTAAACTGTTATATTATTTTTTAGGTTTGTGACCCAATATTGGACCATGCAAAACACAGATTTACCTTCACAGCCTCAGAAGGGCAAGATTTATGTACAAAAAGTAAAGCTGTTCAGGAAATCATGTTTTGTTTTTATGTTTTTTTGTTGTTGGAATTCATATAAATATACTGGTGTGATAACTTCGTATACATTTGACTGGTTTTTGGTATACGTCTATTTTGAATTTGTAGCGCCCCCTGGAGAAAACTCCACCAGCCGCCACTGGCCGAGACGCTACAGTTTACAGTAAAAAAAAATCCAGCTCTCACATCTTTCTGGCCATGATACACACACCTCATAGGATAATCCCCTTCACACCACCATAGGGCCCAAATAGAAAGGATAAACACAGACATGTATGTATATAGAGGTGTTTTTTTTTTCTTTTACAGTTGCACCTTTCAAGTTTTCAGTTTTCAAATTCATGTTTGCTGACAGACATTTCATGGAGATAAATTGTGCCTTCATCAGTAGTGGATTAGAGATATACAGTTAATTTCAGAAGTGGGCCAATTCAATTCAGTTTGGTTCAGGTAGATATTTAATGATGCAGAAAATAAGAATCTGATTGTACAATTTTTTTTATGATGCTTTTTTAAAATAAACAATTGCCCAAAATTGTTTTTGCTTTGCGCGCTTTACAAGCTCGCCTTTTATTTGGTGCCCTATTTTGTCCCTGTATAGTATTGGGTCAGCTGACACCCCTGGGTCGGACTCAGGCGAGAGCGTATCGGGAGATGGAGACCAACAAGACCTCCCTCATCCTTGGCCCTATCTCATAGAATTTTTGGAAATAGTCGAATAATTGAGCTTTCAACCCATATAGTGGAATCTGGCTGTTTTTTTAAAGGTTACTTTTATACTTTTATACTTTAAGTAGTTTTTGGAGCACATACTTTTTCACTTTTACTTGAGTAAAGAGGTCAAGTTGATACTTCAACTTTTACCAGAGTGTTTTTAAACTGCAGTATCTATACTTCTACTTAAGCAACACATGTGTGAACTTTTGACACCACTGTTAAGGTGTTTGGTAAGGAGCTGATGGTTACCTAAAAATGCCATTGCAGTTTTGCCTTACTAAAAATGTATTCCAAGCTAGTGTCACTAATGGATTACTAGATTTGTCAAGTCCATGTTCAATCCAGCAACAAGGTAGTCATAGGTTGGTATTAACCTTTCAACTCTAAACAGAGAGCTGCTTGCATCTACATTGCGTGGGAAGGGCAGGGTTTCAGAGTAAAGACAAAGCTCAACCACAGACACACCTCTTCTCCATCTCAATAATTCTGAGCAGGGAGGAGATATTCACCTAGAAGTACTCAGGAGTACTTCTGAGTCCTGAGTACTCCTGAGTGATTATGAATGAAAGAAAATTCTGCAAAACGTGGACACATTTTAATTTGATAGACAGCTCAGAGTGCAGACTCTGTGTTGCCAGTCTATCCTCACTCATCTACTCCATGTACTCTGCATTGTGCCTGTGTGCGTGTTGACTTAAGAACCAGCTGACAAGACCACAGACAAGGCAGGTTTATTCTGTTAAAAACAGAAATATTTTCACAATAGCAATTTAACCAACCATGTTTCCACATGCACACCTCACACTTAAATAAAAGCCATAACAAAATGAACCTGCCTAACAGTTGGTCTTATATATTTAATCCTAGATTAACAAAAGTACCTTGTATTGGTGTGATAAAACCTGACAAAGGCCATCCTAATGGGAATTAATGCTGAACAATACCCAAAAAGGTGATGTGCCAAATCTAAAAACAGCCTAACAAGCTTGAATTAAGTAAATAATGTAAAACAAGATGTGAGTTTACCAAGCTTAACTTTTAGAAAACTTTTCAGATCTTAACAGTTAAATGGAAGACACCCTCTATACACTCACCTGTTCCCAGCGCAGCTCAGCAAAAACTGAGGTGAGCAGTGGGAACTTATTGGAATTCAATTCAATTTATTTCTATAGCTGCAATTCACAACAGCTCATCTTAAGGCACTTTATAAATACAATTAAACCAGGTCACACAGTACGATTGATTCGAAGTTTTCTATCTAAGGAAAACCATCTGATTGCATCGACTCACTGACTCTTCAGCAATCCCTCACACTAAGCATGCTTGTAGCGACAGTGGAGAGGAAAACCTCCCTTTTAACAGGAAGAGACCTACAGCAGCACAAGGGTCAGTGTGTAGGTATAAGTTAAGGTCACTACAGATGTTTTAGAAAAAGCTCCTAGGAAATAATCTCAGTTTTGGTTAGGAAAACAATTTTAATAAAATTCCTTTTTCCTCATTGATTCTAATTTGTTCATTCACCTGAGCTTAAACTTGACATAAAATAAGTATTATTCATGATGATGTTTTCATGTGAAGAACAATAAAAAAAACGTTTTCTTTCTTTTCTTCTTTCTTTAGCCCTGATGTTAATGTCGTGCAGCACAGCATACAAAGGTTGGTTATATATCTTGAAAGTCCTGATGAATTTACAATTGTAAATTTTTATTTTGAATATTGTTTAGAGTATAAGCATAAAGGCCAGAACACACCATATCTGATTTTTTGTACGATTCGATAGAATATTGTGTCGGACTAGGTCTTGGCACAAATAGAAAACTGTCCCCATGATAGGAGTTCAGGAGGACAGAAAACGGATAAAGTAGTGATCCTCTTTGAGCCTAGGGTACCGTCTCGTGCCCGCGCCAAGTATGTTTTTGACAAGAACACAGGAAAATGTGCAGCAAATATGGGTCAATTGGAATAGAAGCATACTCGTGACATCACCACGTGCTCAGCTCATCTGGAGCTGCATTTCAACTCCTGTTAAAGAGCCTAGATAATAAATTATTTATTTTTCATTTAGTGAGGGAATAATAATTAGCACAGTCTGAGAAACACTAATCAAAAAAATGTTTTGCCAAATCGAGCCATCAGCGCTAGCGGTACTTCACACACGGCTATGTCATAGGGGGCTTCTGCAGACGGCTATGTTAGTCCTGGAGTTCTGCTGGTTGCCGCATTCCTCTTAACATTGGAACTTTATTTTAAATTACACACTAAATCAGCAAATGGACCATATGTTGAAGCCTAAAGTATAATGTTCTCACCTCAAATGATCTTTAAATGTACTTTTATGGAACAATGACAACAGATAAATTAACTTTTGACCTAAAGGGGAATGTCGTTTTTTTACATTGGGCCCTTGATTTTATGCTATTCCATCATGTTCTACTCACCCATATAAGTTTTGTGTAATTTGGAGCTGTTTTGCAGATTTTCCGTTAGGTTATATCTGCAATGATTTTATCTAAAGCTCTGACCCACATGCAAAACAGAGAGACCAGGGAAGAGACTGAAAAGTGAAGGGGAAGATACTGTGGTTAGTTCAGGCTCAGTGGGAAATTTGTGAGATTTGAAGATGGGAATTTAGGCTGCAGACTCACGTTTCCAGTAAAAAGGTGTCTCTTGATGAATCCAGTTGGTGTGGGTTGTTCCAGTGAATGACTTGCTCGTTGGAGGGCGGACAGGGTTTACCCAGATTGCAGTTTTCCCTTGAGGAACGGAGGAGCTGACTGCCACTTAATTTTCCTGTGGTTCTTGAACAGTACTTGTAGAGATGAATCCCCTGCTCAGAGAGACGCCCAAACAATCCTTGGGGAAAAAGTAGATCCAAGTCACAAGCTCGAATCCTCAGCTCAGTTTGGTGCTCAGAGAATCCTTCCAGGGGGGAGAAGGTCCAAAACATCCAGTTTGTATGACTTCCTGCCGAGAGGAAAAAACAAAACAAGGTTAAACTCAGGTTGACAAAAACTCAGTTTGACTCAGCAAAACTCAGCTTGGCTAGAGTACCCAAAACTGGCAAACACTCTGGCCTCCAGGTAGTGGCAGTCAGCAGCTTAAGAGCACTCTGGTAATGAGGCAACCATCCACAGGTGTGTGAGGAGGCCAACGAGAACCAGGCGCCGCCTGGTGGTGGAGGGAAGACAAACAAAAGCACAACCCACACAAACTGGATTCCTAACAATATCCAAGTAACATCTTCCTATGAGCAACAAGTTGAAGGCACAAACTGAACTGTTCATAATTGATCATTTATGGTATGCCAGCATTCATAACATGTAGGTGAATCACTGTCCTCCCAGACATCCGTGGTTACATTTTTTATATTTATATTTTTTTGAAACAAAGCGAATTGTGTATGATGTCATCCGCACACGCCGGTTACCTTTCATTCATCCTGTCCGCTGAACTGCTGCTAGCTTTACTCTCAAGCCTGGAAGATGTCTAGTGCTGCTACCACAGATGATCTCGCTCTCCAAATGGAATTGAATGATTCAGATTAGCTAGAATGAATAGAAGGGGTAGAGCATAGCCGCCTCTGGCCTCTCACAACTCCAGTCCGTCGCACAGATGACATCATACAGACTCCGCTTTGTTTAAAAATTTATAAATATAAAAAATATGAGAATAAAACTAAGCAGAAGTTATCATTCCAGCAGCTGCCCTGACTGTGAGTCCCAGCAGATCTCAATTCTTTCCTAGAGACTCTGTGTCTCTGAGCTGTAAGGCTAACAACAGCTCTGCTGGATGGACTGTATGGAGGAACACAACCAGAGGAACCAGGACTCAGTGTGGAGATGGATGGGGGAAACCAGCTGGTTCTAACTGTAACATCAGCTACCTGTACCCAGATGAAAGTGGAGTTTACTGGTGTTGGTCGTCCAGAGAGGGAGCATCCAGCAGCAGCATCCAGCTCACTGTCACTGGTAAGATCAGACTGTGGAGTTACCCCTTGCTCACACTGGCTCCGGTGCGGTTACCGAGCCGATGGAGACCGCAACTCCCGCACACCCCCTCTCACACCGCCCTTTTGACTACGGTGCGGTGCGGCTCTGCGGCTCCGGCAACAGGTCCGGAGATTTAACAGAAGTTCACTTGAGTTCACGTAACTTCACGCGATAACACGGCCCAAATAAGGATATTTGCGAGAGTTTGTTGCGGAGGGCTCCGGCACGCCGCAAGGATAGCTTTCTTGCGGAATTTTCTGCAGCGCCGGAGTGTCTCGGTAACCGCAGCCGGACAGCTCAGCAGCCGGTGAGAGAGGTTTACGTCTTTTTAATGACTTGGAATCACTGCGGCGCCGCACCCACCGCACCGCAACGGTAAGACCGGAGTCGGTGTGAGCCTGGGGTTAGTGTTGATGAAGCTGTGTGGAAATGGATGAAATGCTGTAGTTTGTCTCTGTGTTGAGGTGGATCAGTGATCCTGCAGAGTCCTGTCCTCCCTGTGATGGAGGGAGATGACGTCACTCTGAGCTGTCTAACAAAGACCACTCCCTCCAACCTCCCAGCTGCTTTCTATAAAGATGGCTCCCTCATCAGGACTGAGCCCAAAGGTCACATGACCCTCCACCATGTGACCAGCTCTGATGAAGGCCTCTACAGGTGTAACATCAGGGGTCATGGAGAGTCTCCATCCAGCTGGATCTCTGTTGAAGGTCAGCAGCTTCTCTGTTTGCTTCAACCTTTATTATGAGACAAGAACTAATTCATAACCTCTGGTTTATTTCAGAGAAACCAACCACCACTTTTCCACCTGACTCTAGTCGTCCTCCACCTACATCTTTCACTTCTCCCTCCGACCAGCCTTTTCTCCCTACCATTGTAGTTCCTGTCTTGATTTTCTTTTTCATTTTACTCTTGCTACTTCCTTTAGTTCTACTTGTAACACGACACATGTGCAGGAAATCTGATGGTAAGCGAACAATAATATGGATTTAGTACATTTTTAACATGTCTAGGATTTATTCCTTCTATACTCATTCTATTTTTTTCAAAAACTGAATGAACTTAGAGATTTTTTTTTGTTTTATTCCAGGTATAGAAGGAAATGATGTAGAAAAGAGCACTGCATACAGTGAGCTGAGAATCGTCACAAACCAGCAGCAGCCAGTCAGAGGCAGTAGAGGTATCATATCACATCTGATTGATAAACTAAGTTAGAAATCCCTCATTCAAAGACCATGCAAAACATATGTCTTACATTCTCTACTGGATAGTTAAGAGTTTATTTAATCTATTTACCTGCTACTTAAAAATGACTATTTTACTTGTTTGTTAAAAGAACTTGGTTTATGGTATGCTCTATAAAGAATGAACGTTTTTGATGAAGTTTCCACTTTATTTACCTCATTTTGTCATCCTGTGACCTCGAGATTGTCTTTCTTCTTTGCTTTAGTCTCAGACATCAGGATATGTTCCTTTATCAAAGCTAACTTTATATTTTCTTTTCTGCTTAGATAAAAAAAAAATTTGCTCTACAATCAGAATATGTACAATGTAGAATATCTGATATAATTTTCTATCTATCAGTTGTCATGTTGTCTGCAGCTTTTTGTTGTTCAGTAAACAGACTAGCAGGTCTGCGGTTTGCTAAGCTTCCTGTTATTCAAAGTGAAAAGACGTTCTTTGTAAAGTTAACTATAGGACTTCAAAGAACAACTAACCATTCTAAGTCCTTTAAGCTAAGTTTTAACATTCTGCTTATTTGACTTTCAAAAATCTTTCCAACAGCAGATGTTATTTTTTTCTTTTATAGATAGAATTGCATTCCTATTAAGGTCCTTTATTTTTTACTCTTGTTATCTTATCATCTAGGAGGAAGTCTTTAAGATTTCCAGTTAGATCAGATGGCTTGCTTTCAGTTTCTTTGTCAGACTAAAGCCTACTAAACTTTCCCACTAAACTTTCTTTATTGTCTGTTTGCAAAACAGACCAATAAAGAAGATCCTTCCTTTCATTGTTCTGAACACTAAGCTATTTACACTATTTAATTTCATACAGTACCTATAAATAAATATTGATGACTATTTACCACACTTGAATTATTCACTGAAAAAATACATTATATTGAATTTCATTTAGGTCAGTTATAATTGTGAAGTGTAACAAAAATTCAGCATGTTAACATCTTATATTGGGATTTGTGTTCGAATTGTCCATTCTAAAGCAACGTTTGATAATGGTATTCATTTAATAGGAGCACTTATATTATTTCGGAAAGAAGAAAATAGAAAGAAAGAAGAAGAAAATACTTCAGAAAAGAAAATCTTTATGAAGAAAATGTGGACAACAGTGAACATCCTCTTCAGCAGACTGTTAAATAATAAGGAATAGTCTTCAGTAAGAGGCTTCTACAGATCTTTTGCAAAACAGACCAATAAAGAAGATCCTTCCTTTCTGCCGCTATCAACACCTACAACAAATCGATAAAAAAAAAAACAACCAAGTAATAACTATATGAGTTTGTGAAACATTTCATTTCACTTTGGGAGTAGTAGAATATTTTTGAATTTGAATTGAAATAAGTATTTTTTTCTAAATAGGAAACAAATTGCAGTCACAATCTTACATTTTTGTTTTTTCATGAACAAAACTTAGATTTCTCCTCTTTGATAATGACAGGCTCTTTGGGGGGTTTAGCCTTCAGAGATAAAATCACCACACATCCTGCTGTCGATTGCAGTTCAGTTTCAGTAGAGTGGGGTTGCCTCATGCCACCACAGAATACGTCTGCCTGGCCTAAAAAAAAAAGACTGCACTACTCGAAACAACCATCATAGTTTCCACCTCCGTGTGGTCTGAAGATATCGCTGAACATCATGAACATAGCGTGACTATTTGTTTTAGTGGGGTTGAGCATCTCTCTGGTCTTTTGTGCACATAGACTTTCACACAATCTTTTTGCCAATATCAAAACAGAGATTAAAAAAAGAAAAAGAAAATTTACAATATAAAATATGTTTTTGTTAAGTAACCACCAGGCTCAACAGCAGTTTTTACCCTTTAGCTGTTGGACTACTGAAGTCGAGCTGCACTTTCAGCTTCAATTCTTTCTCTTCCATTTCTTAAATACTATGCTACTGGACTGAGACCTGAGTCTAAATTTCCTACCACAAACATACAAATGTGAGGTAGTATGACAATAAAATTCCCTGACATCCTATATTAAGGCTACTTCAAATTATGAATTCATCATCATACTTTTGTATTCTTTTGTGTAGATTTCATTATCTGAACACTAGCTGACCTATTTGAACCCACAGTGATATAGTCTCTGTTATTGTTCCTCAGAGAGAGATTCAGCTTCAATTTACTATGTGGTGAGGACAGAGGACATCGGCTATGGACAGATCAACATCAGACCAAAGAGGACACAAGGTACCGCTTTTTCTTCATTATATCTAAGCTTTGCTGCTTTTACACTGTAAAAGTTCTGTTAAAGGAAATGAACTGATAAGGAAGAGGCTAAGGAAGAAGAGATGGAAGTTAAGACTTGAGAAAAATAAAAATCTTGTATCACGACCAGCTGAAGCATCTATTTATTTTCTTTCAGATGAGTATCACATTTTTAGAAATTAGAATCAGGTTTAAGTGTAGAAAAAAACAAAAGTACGATCACAGAAGTTCAGTGTAATTATCATGACAGATGGAGGCTACTTATGGGCTAAAAGGGCTTCTTTTAATGAGTTAAAATTCACATTTGGTTCATAGGAATTTAATCTGTTGTTTACTCGTTAACCTTATCAACAACTGCTTACATGTAAAAATCTTCTAACCTGTAGCTATTAGCTTTTTTAGGTTCACCTGGGAAAACTCTCCCTGTCTTTGGTCAGACCTGATAAATCTGCTGATCTCTCTGGGAAAACTGAGACATCTCCAAAGTTCAGGAGTGTTCAGCATATAGCTAGAATAGCCTAGCTAGGAAGGAAGGTGTGTCCTGACCTCAGGGTACAAAAAGTTTGTAATACTTCTGGTTCAAGCCTGATCCTGCAGATTAGAATTGGAATTTGCCTGTTTTGCAGCTTTCTGATTCTTGAAAGTAAAACGCAGGTCTGCTTAACTTTGAACAGTCTGAAGAGTGTCTCTCCAATGTTGTACCTCTTGATCCAAGGCAACAACGGAGGTGAGAGATGTGTTGATGCATCCTTAATGTCCTTGCTGCCAACTTCTGTAATTTTGGGCTTCCACGTTGTGTCTCTGCGGACAGAATTCCTGCACCGGGCAAATAGGAAACTATGCATATATCTGCACAGAAAACATTGAGAGCGAAAAGCAGCTCCTACTACTGAGGGTTAGCAAATATAAGCATCTAGAGACATCC